AGTGTTGGCGCTCGGTGGTCGCGCAACTGCTCGATGGACGCAACTTGCGTCTCTGACCCGACAGAGAGAGCCCCCAGTATCGCTGAGAGGAGAGTTCATGCAGGACGGGCAACGTTGCTGACTCCGTTTGAGTTTGATGGCTGTCGGGCGTGGACTCAAGTCTCCTCGACGAGCGTCTCTCGGGTCCAGGACGGCGATGGCAGCTTCTCGCCTCGAGTCGCAACTGGACGTTCGTTTGAAGCGTCTCGAAGATCTGATCGACGGATGGAGAGCTGTCGCTACTGCATCTGGAGAGGATGAGAGCGCTCTTGACGAACAGCGTCCTGTGCCTCGGTACTGGGCTGCTAGCGCCTTTGTTTCCTCACTGCCAGGTAGTAAGGTGCCGCGTGTATTCCTGTTCGGCGGCCAAGATGACACGACGCTGCTGGACGATCTCTGGAGTCTGGAACTGGCTCAGCTAGATGAGGATTTCCCTCAAGATCGTCGAAAGAGTCAACGGATCAGAGCATGTGCGTGGAGACAAGAGAACTCGGCGTACAGGACACAATGGGCATCGTCTTGTGGGGCAAGCAATACGGCAGCTGCAGTAGATAAATGCACACTGGAGATGCTGCTGTTGTACGCATGGTGCGACGAGTATTACCAGTCGATTGGATTATAAACAACATAGAGTGTATCTATTATAATGAGAGCGGTTTTGCGTAGGAATCAAATTGCACATGGCCTTGCTTGGAAGTGATTGCTGTGTAGATGCTTGTTCAATCTTCCTTTACCATACGTTACAGCAAGTTTGATAGGGGCCAGTATTGAAAGCTTCAACTTGGAGAGGATACCCACATTTGGCGGTGAGCAAGCTGGTACCAGCGAATTGGTACACTGATGCAAAGAATTTTTGGAGATACAAACCCGGATGGGTATTTTGCATCTGGACCTAATCTGTGTATGCTGATAATTCTTATTCGCGTTCCCCTCAATATCACGATCATTCTACCCTCATAGCTCCCTGTTTACTGCAATAACGTATGAAAAAACACACCCTCATAAATATAAGGCGACGGAGTGATCCCGCCACAGTGAGTAATTTGGCAAGCACGAGCTCTCGATGGACAGTGTCGAGCGCACGAACCGCGGATGGGATGCCGGCTGACTGTTTACTTGCGCAAGTAGCTCAGCCACCAACCACTGGCTGGCCGCGTCCGCTGTTTGCTTTTCAGCTTCATTCGCGAATCTGCGTCGGAGACCACAAGCGCATCGAATTGCTGCCAGCGGGCAAGTGTTCATTGGCAGCAATTCGTCAGCGGCACCTCGGTAGTCATTCCTGTTTTTGTCCATCGGGTGAGTGAGTGCCTATTATCTACTGTAGTGCCACTCAATTTGCACACTCGCTCTTGTTTTGTACACCGTTTCTAACGTGATTGTTGTCACTTCAACAGCGGATGGGCTATCCAGTGAGTTGTTATCAATTGAGTGGCATGCATCCAGTCACTCACGTGAAGGTCGTGCGCAGCTCCAACAAGTTCAAGGCCTACAAGAAGCTCGAGCCCAGCTTGTCCCGGCGGGCATCTGGCACCGGGTCCGACTACTTGATTGCTGTCGAGACTCCAGACGATATTCATATTCATGTGTCTACACTGTCCTGAGAGACCGTCACACCGACCGTCGTTGGACATCATTGGGTTGACCAAGGCCTATCGAGGCTCGAGTCACCCACGCTGACAACTTGAAGCTGTTCAAGGTACGGCATCTGGTACCTGCAACTCGAAGCACGCCGAGCAACTGTCCTGGTAAGCTTGGTCGAGGGCGATTCATGGTCGAGCTCAAGTGTCATCAGCAACTGCGGATGAAGCGACATCAAGGTGCAAGTGAAGTTCAAGCATCGAGGCACCAGCTACTGGCACACAACAAAAGTCGAGTTGCATCGTAGACACATTATAGTGGACAAGTTGCATTCCAAGGCAACTGCGTGCTGTTTAACCAAGCTCAAGCTCAGCCGTGCTCAACCACTACCGTCTTCATGTCTGGGCTGCTCTCGGGCTATGACGATGCTTGTCAGTGCACCAAATCTGCTGAGTCCAAGCCATCAATGCTGTACGTACTGCTGTGCTCAACCAGTTCTCGTACGCGGTGCTGTGTTCACTCCATGCATCTACGTCATCAACGTCAAGAGTCCTGCCTACCACTAGCCAAACAGCCCTTGTCGCTCCGTATGGTGGACTTCGCGGGTCCCCGTGCTCGACTGGAGTCTGGGTCACTATGACGTAGCGCTCGATCACGTTGATGCGGCCATCCCATTCGCCTCGACAGTGCTCCACAGCATCGGCGGGATCGGTGGCTTTGCTCATGTGTACGGCAGACCTGCAACCTATCGAAGCCACATGGAAGTCACCTCCATAACAAGACCAAGAGCTCTCTATCATCCCGCGCATGCAGGACCTCGACGTCGTGAACGAGTTCAATCGGGTATGGCCGTTGTCCGATCTTCGGCAAGGGTCGCGTGAAGGTGATTGGTATCGGCTCAGTTCCTCGATGCGTTGGATACGCATCTGGTTGGTGTCGGCACTGTTCGTTGATGTCCCAGCGGCCTTAGTCCAGGTGGTCCAGGTGGATCGACAAGTCTACGCAGAGCTGCAGCGTGTGGCACCTGGGAATCCAGTCTCTGCCTATGCGTTAGTCTCCTGGTCAGCCTTTGACAATGCGCTCGAGGCCTCTGGCGGTACTGCTAGTGTCGAAGCCTACGAAGTTCAGTACGCAGTGTCTGGGTCAGGCGTCTGGCAGTCGCTGGGGGATTCACTGACCGGATTTCGCGTCGACTTGGGTGCTCAAGCCACGGAACACGTGCCCAAGCAGCGTATTTTCACTCGTGCAGACGATGGCGAGTCCATCAACGATGGGTATTTCAGACTTGGCTTGTCGTATGAAGGCTCCAGTCCGAGTATCCTGGGCGGACGAGCTACTGCTGGTGTGGTGACGCCTCCGATCGCTTTTGACGCCAGTGCAGACGCCATGAAGACAGCGATCGAGTCTCTGGAGCAGGTCACACAGGTGCAGGTGGAGAGGAATGCGCTGGACGCTGATGGAGCGTTCGAGTGGATCATTCTCTTTGATCTCGTGGCGTACGACGGCGAAGATCCGCTGCCGTTGCTGTCGCTGTATACAGAGACGGTGTCAGCTCAGTGGACTGGAGACGGAGACCAAGTAGCTGTTCAGTATCTGCGCATGGCTCCGAGTTCTCCTGGTCGACATCGACGTATTTGCTCGGATGAATGCAGCTACCAAGTCACGGGACTGCAGACTGGTCGAGCCTTCAGCTTCCGTGTTCGAGCGCAGTATTCGTACGCTATTGGCTGGAGTTCATGGAGTGCACGTAGTGAACCACTGGAGATCCCAGCGACACCAGTACCGCGAGCTCCTTCAACCCCCGAGCTACTAGCGGCAACGACTTCTCATGTCACGATCTCGTGGCGTATGCGTCGAGAACTCACGCAGGAAAATGGCATCTTTGCTAGGGAATTCTTCCCCGTCACCAGCTTCCAGGCTCAGCAACAATGCGACAGTGAGATCGGCTGGACTACGATCAGTGAGCGTATACCGCCGGGGTTTAGTGGCAACAGTGACACCTTTGTAACTGTTGTTGCGTCCTTGGATCGTCCGCCAGGTTCCACCTGCGAGTTTCGAGTTGCTGCGACGAATGCCAACGGCCAAGGACCTTTCAGTTTGCCTTCAGCCAAATTCACAACGTTGCAAACAGCTCCGGGTGCTGTGGCGAACTTACGGGTAGCTCGAGACCCGCTTACTGTGGTCTGGAACACACCTGAGGTGCTGGGCGGTCATGCACTGGAAGAGCTAACCTACGATGTGGAATACCGCACAACTCTTGGCTCGACGTGGACGCGATTGCCAGCTGAGCTGGTGGACTGCAGCAGTCGACTCGCCAACATCTCAATGACGTCGCTGAAAGGATACACCACGTACGTCACGCGCGTCAGAGCGGTAGCTGAACGGCAAGCTGGTAGCTTCTCCCAGTCCGCAGAGTTCCTGGCAGATTACACGGTTGAAGACGACTCGAACAGCGACAACGTCAAGGATTTAACCCTTGGAACACGCCAAGTGGTGATTGCTGCAGCTCGTCAGCAATGCGCTAACACACAGGACTGGTACTACGTCCAGTTGACTGGGAACGGCGGCAGTGGCGGCTCTACCAGTGGCGATGAAGCCAAACCTGGCGAGCACGGAGCTGTTCTTGTCTTTCCAGTCACGTGGTCGGGCGAAAGACCGGCGGAACATTCTTTTTTCTACACGGGAAGTGTCCAGACCTATCGAGTTCCAATTGACCAGTCTGCTCCTCATCTTGCGCATCGAATTGTTGCTCTTGATGTCTACGCTTGGGGGCGCTGGGGGAGCTGGTGCGAGGTCTTCAAACGGAGCTTCAAGCGACTTGAGTAACGGCGGAGGAGGCGCCTTTGCACGTGGAGTTTTCCGTGTCAGTGCCGGTGATGCTGTGGACATTTTAGTTGGCGGTGGAGGCCTTCAAGACGGTCGTGCTGGTCAACGGCGGTGGAAACGGCGGCACAGGCGATTTCCC